GGATTCCACAGCAGAATGAATCACCAACTATTCTGGTATAGTTACACAGCGAATGCCTAGTAAACACCCATACACACTCAAACACTATGGCCGATTTAGTTCATCAATTCCCTTATAGCGCATGTGTTTGGACTGTGGGGAAACTGGAGCACCTGGAGGAAACCCACGCCAACATGCAAACTCCACACAGAAATGCCAACTGACCCAGCCAGGACTTAAACCAGCGACGTTCTTGCTGTGAGGCCACAGTGCCAACCACTGAGCCACCGTGCTGCCATAGTCAGTGAGCATTAATGTAAAAGACATTCATTCTCTCTCTAAAGCTGCCAAAACACAGTCTGGGCTTCATCTGAGACTCTGATTTAATTGCATGTATTACATAAGGCGGTCATGCAAGCCTCAGGATGGTCCTGTTTCAGTCTTGCAGGTATAAGAGCTGTGAAATCTGTCAAATTCTGACAGGATCAAAGACTCATGCACATACAGTCAACATCATCGAATCGCAGACTGCTGAATGTACAGATGAATCACTGGATCAAACACCCACTGACAATCAACAGACGAGGAGGATCACAGCAGAAAAAGCATCTTAAAGAGGATCTGTTATCCAAAACTCACTTTTTATAAGGTGTGCAAACCCAGTTGTGTGTCAGCAGTGTGTGAATATCTCCAGCCTCTAATGGTCAACATGAATTAATTGTGTTTGCTCTAATCAGACTTGATGAATGAAACGCTTTGATTGACATTCTCCCTTTGTACGTGTTATCAGAGGGGGAAAGCCCCGCCCACTAGTGTCCATCTCTCCCTCATTAGCATAAGCAGCAGCCCTGAGTGAGAAGCAGCCGTCTGTCCATTAGCCATTAGAGTGTTTGAGCTGCTGAAGATAATGTCAGCATAGACTCAGAGGATGATAGATGTGAAGTTTTAAATGAACAGCGACAGGAGCGACATAGACTGACAGAAGCATCAAGCCAGGCCCGGCGCTAAGGGGGGGCAAAGGGGGGCATTGCCCCCTCAGAAAGAATTTGTAAAAAAAAAATATATAGTTCACCGCACAGTCACACTATAAATAATATTTAAATTTATTTATTATCATCATTATTATTATTATTATTATTATTAATAATAATAATAATATGATTACAATTAAGCTAAAATTGACAAAATGCAAAACCCTTTGAATGTTTGCTTTCATTTTGACATTGCTAAAAAGCGCACTTTTACAGTTGTGTAGAGAAACATCCCATTATGTAGCAGCAGTCAAGGTATAACACTTAATAAATGCCTTTTGCATTTAAAGATGATCGACCTGCGAGGTCAAGTTTGCTGTGTTATAAATGGAATAGGTATATAGTGCTTTGTGTATACGTGCTTAAGTGGATTTACCGCGGATCAACCGAGAAACCTCTCACATGCTGCAGGTAGGCTGAATAATAATATTTTAAAAATATGTAATTTAGGCTAAACTGCTATTTGCTCATGCAAAATTAAACAACATAAAATATATTGTAAACCTATTTTAAGAGCTAAAATACAGTCAGCATATCGAGTTTGTTTTGACTTGTAGCTTATGGCCCTAAAATGAAAATAACCTGCAAACAAGTTATTAAAATAGGCTTAATAAATAAATAAAATGACGGGTAGGCCTAGTCACCTAATGGTTTATGATGGTTTACAAATGACAACCGGACAATATCACGAAAAAAAAACACACACTTATGATAGCCTAATATAAATCTTTATTTTTTAAATTTAAAATAATGAAAAAAGTTATATAGCCTGAGTTGCGTGTTATCCGTGCCAAAATGTAAACAATTTTCACGGTAATAACTGTGAATTAGGTATCTTTTTTCGGTATTTTTCTGGCTACACTAATGCATTAAAATGTAACTTAGTAATTGTTTTAAATGACATTAGATTGTAACATTTAGCTTTTTCCTAACACTGATGTCGGTTGGGTAATAGGCTACGTGAAGCGTGATGAGTTGGTTAAGCTGATTTCACTATATTTATTTACCGGTTAAATGAATAGTCTGATCGTGGGTCAGCTTGCATGTGTGGGCATAATTTGACGTCTTTTCCTAAAACTTTAAACATTCATAGGCCTGTTATTTGAAATAAAACAGAGATAAATAAGGAAAATAACATATGATTTAAAGCACTCGTTTGGCACTGAAGCAATGATCCGTCTGAATAAGCGGTATTGTTGCATCACCGTGATTAATAAAATCAGTAATAGCGAAACTGTGCATATTATTATTATTACTATTAAAACGTATAATACTGCCTTAGGTCAGTAACTTAAGCAGTAATGCAAAGTAATAAATAATAAACGTGAATAAATAGCCTAAATGAAAGAAACAAGAGACCAAAATGAGTCACCAGGTCTAGTGCCCCCCTGTGGATTTAAAATGCCCCCTCAGTTCCGACATCCTGGCGCCGGGCCTGCATCAAGCACACACTCACACTGAAGCACACACGCACACAAGAGCACAATCTC